TAAATACTATTTGTCAGAAAGACTTCTTTTTCTATTGAATTGCTGTGGCACCTTTGTAAAAAAGCAAATGATGCTGTGTGAGTCTGAAGCTGGGCTCTCTGTTCTGTTCTATCAATCTATTTGTCTTTATGCCAGTACCACACTGTCTTGATTACTGTAGCTTTGTGCAAGTCATAAAGTCAGTATTGTAATTCTTCTAACTCTGCTCATTTTCAAGATTGCTTTAGGTATTCTAAATCCTTTAAATCTCCGTATAAATTTTAGAATCTAATAAAAAAATCTCATAGAATTATTATTGAGATTGCAGTGAATCTATAGATCATTTTGGGAGAATTAACATCTTAACATTATAGAGTCTTCCAATCTGAGAAAGTGGTACACTTTCTAGTTGTTTAGGTCATCCGTCAGTCTTTTGTAGTTCTTATTATAGAGTTCATCCTCAAATTTTTAAAATTTACATCCAAATGTGTTTCATTTGTAAGCTATCGTTAAGTAGTATTTTTAAAATTTCATTTTCTGATAGTTGGTGCTTTTATACTGAAATACAATTGGTTTTGTACTCTGTGATCTTGCTAAGTTGACTTTATTAGTTCTAGTAATTGTTTTATAAATTATTTAGTATATTCTCTATAAGCACCTATGCCATGTGTGACTTCAGGTTTTACTTCTTCCTTTCTGATCACTATGCCTCATCTTATTACACTAGTCAGGATCTCCAATAAAACATTAAATAGTATTGGTGGGAGTGGACATTCTTCTCTTCTGATCTTGAGGGAAAAGATTCAGTATTTCATTATTAAGTATGATGTTAACTGCAAGGTTTTTTTTGTAAATGACTGTATTAGATTAAGGACTTCAAGCTTCGTTTCTTCTTTGTCCAGCCACAGCATCAATCTCTGTTTCACTTTAGATGAGCTTTTTGGAGTTTGCTTCCTGTGGTGTTGTTCAGGGATCAGTCAGATTTGGGCAGAATTTATATACAATATTTGTGTCTCCTCTCTGTGGCTTTCTCCTTTCCTGGATATATTCCTTCAATTTTCAACTATGGCAGTAGTCTCAAATTTTGTCCTTTGATTTCTTAACTATAATAGTGCAGATTTATATCTGAATTCTAGCTGTCCCATGGGTAGAAAATCCTCCAAAATGGGAAACTCTTTCATTGACATTCCTTTCTTTCAGATGTCCACTCTTCTCCAAATCTGTCTGCTTTTAGTGACTCTCTATTTTTTACACAGTCATTATTTGAAAAAACATCTTTCCAAAGTTTACATTTGCTTTCTGTGAAAGGTTTCATCCAAAATAAGCAACTTCACCATTGTTAGAAATGGAACCTACATTTTTAAATGGTGTGGTCAGAATAGTCCTTACTGAGATTGTGGCATTTAAAAAACACTTGAAAAAAGGAAGGGATTTAGCCAAGGTGACAATTTTTTTTTTCTTTTTTTAGAAAAGCCTTCCAGACAGACAGAAGTTTATAGCCAAGGTGGGAAATATGCCTGATGTTTTGGAGGGACTGCAAGGAGATTAGTGATGAGATCAGACAGATAACTAGGATTTTAGAGCAGTACAGATCACGTAGGGCCTTGTTTGTCATTATAAGGTAACACTGCAGGGTTTTGAGAATGGTGTGATCAGACATACATTTCAAGAGTGTAACCATATTGCTGTTTTGTGAATAGATTGTATGGTTGCAAATGTAGAACAGGGAACTAATTCAAAGGCTGTTTCAAGAATTAACAGAAGGAATAATGTCCACTCAAACAAGAGTGGTATCAATGGACGTGACAGATGATGAAGTGCTTGATGTATTATGGAGGAGCAGCCGACAGATTTTTCCAATGGATTGGATGTTAGGTATGAGAGAAAGAGTGGTATTCAGGACAACTCCAGGTTTGTTTGTTTTTTAATATATATTTTTTAACTTTAACACTTACTTGTACATATTTGTGGGGTACAGTGTGTTGTTTCAATACATACATATACTGCACAATGATTCACTTAGGGTAGAGAGCAGAATTTTGTACCCGTTAGTCCACCACTTCTCCTACCCACAAAACCCCCTCCCCACCTGGCCTCTGGTAACTATTATTCTACTCTCTATTTATTTATTTATTTGTTTGTTTGTTTGTTGGTTGGTCTGTTTGTTTTAGATTCCACATATGAGTGATATCATGCAATATTTATCTTTCTGAGCCTGACTTACTTCACTTAACATGATGGTTTCCAGGTCCACCCATGTTGCTGCAAATGATAGGATATCATTTTATTTTATAGCTGAATAGTATTCTATTTTGTATATATCCACAGTTTTTAAATCCATTCATCAGTTGATCGACATTAGGTTGATTCCATCTCTTGGCTGTTGTGAAGAGGGCTGCAACGAACATGGGAGTGCAGGTGTCTTTTTGATACATTGATTTTATTTCCTTTGGATATACATACCTAGTAGTGGGATAGCTGGGTTGTAAGGTAGATCTATTTTTAGTTCTCTGACAAATCTCCATACTGTTTTCCACAATGGCTATACCAATTTACTTTCCCACCAACAATGTAGGAGGGTTCCCTTTTCTCTGGATCCTCCCTAGCATTTGTTATTTTCTGTCTTGTTGACAATAGCCATTCTAACTGGAGTGAAATGATTTCTCACTGTGGTTTCAATTTTCATTTCCCTGATGATAAGTGATTTTGAACATTTTTTTGTGTGGTGGTTGGCCATTCGTATGTCTTCTATTCAGAAATGTTTGTTCAGGTCCTTTGTCCATTTTTTAATTAGGTTATATGTGGTTTTTTGGTTTTTAGTTTTTTTGCTGTGGAGTTGTTTGAGTTCCTTATATGTTCTGGATATTAGGCCCTCGTCTGATGTAGTTTGCAAACACTTTCTCCCATTCTGTAGATTTCTCTTCACTTGCTGTGCAGAAGCTTTTTAGTTTGATGTTGTCCTATTTGTGCATTTTTGCTTTGGTTGCCTGTGCCTTTGTAGTCTTTCTCAAAAAAGCACTTCCCACTTCTATTTCACATAGTGTTTCTTCTATGTTTTCTTCTAGTACTTTCATAGTTTTGGGTCTTAAATTTAGGTCTTTGATCCATTTTGACTTGATTTTTGTTATGGTAAGAGATAAGGGTCTAGTTCTAATCTTCTGCTTGTGGATATCCAGTTTTCCCAGAACCATTTATGAAGAGGTTGTCCTTTCCCCAGTGTATATTTTTTTGGCATCTTTGTCAAAAATCAGTTGGCTGTAAATGGATGGGTTTATTTCTGGGCTCTATTCACTTCCATTGGTCAATTTGTTTTTATGCCTGCACCATGCTGTTTTGGTTACTATAGCTTTATAGTATATTTTGAAGTCAGGAACCATGATGCCTCCAACTTTGTTCTTTTTTTTCAAGATTGATTTAGCTTTATGGGGTCTTTTGTGGTTCCATGCAAATTTTTAGATTTTTTTTCTTTCTATTTCTGTGAAGAATGCCATTGGTACTTGGATAGGAATTGGGTTGAATGTGTGTGTAGATTTGGCAGGCAGCACAGAAGGATGGGATACCCATTTGCTGAGATGGAGAAGGCTATGGGTGAATCAGTTTAGTAAGACAAGGTCTGTATCCTAAAAGGCTCACATTCATAAGTGAGAGAAAGAATTAAATAACTAATGTGATCAAATAACTGAACTAATGTGCTAGGTACTTTTTTATAGCAGTTCTGTGAGAGAGCAGAGGAGAAAAACATATTTCAATTTTGTAATGAGGGAACATGTGGCAGCTAATCAATGTATTGAACATAATCATCATCATCCAGATTAAAAAAAATAAACCACTAGTTTGTCCTCAAATAGTAAATTAAACATGTATGTAATTTTTAAAAAGTTTTACTAGAATCTAAATAACTATCTTCTAGCTTCAGAGAAAACAGATAGAGGTTTACCCTGTTAGAACATTATAGAATTAATGCAATTATTGAAAGTAAAAAAATATTGATTAAAGAGATGTTCCAAAGACACAGCTCCTATTTGAATGTCATTCAAATGACTATTTTTATATATTTAAAGGACTTTGGTTGTCTAATGATAGTAAATTGGACCTACTTAAAATAAGGTGGCGTTAGTCACTTTTAGAGTACAAAAGATACAAAACACAGGGGATAGTTCTTTAAAATCAGTGTGAAATTGGGCTTTGATAATGTTTTTATAAATTAAGTCTAAATGGCATTTATTGTGTAATGGACAATGAAACTTTTACATAAAAAATGTACTTGTATTTCAATATAGTAGGCACATGAGTTAATTGTTGGGTTTAATGGTAACCTAAGCTACTGTGAAGAGAGTAGTAAGAGCCTATTTTATATTTCTATACCTGTTATTTACTTTTTAAAATTAGATGATTGACATCTCATATCTCATTTGATTAGCTTATTACTCAGGTTATATTATTTTCTTTCTATATAATAAACCATAGTAATATTTTGGATTTCAGGGTGTTAATGCTTTAGGAAAAGGGTGTGTGTGTGTGTGTGTGTGTGTGTGTACGTTTACTTTTTCATTATGTCATTTTAGAAGAAGCTGGAAACTAATGATGTTATAAATACCTTTAAAACTAACAAAGCCCTTTTGATCTGCAGAGCTCAAAGTACTTAATAAAAACCTATTAATGGAAATGTCTTGTATCAGAGAAATGTGGACTTAAACCCTCCAAATATTCAGACTTATTGAGGCAAAGATATAACACCTGGCTGTTCCCAGATCTCATATGTATTGTTTTATTTTACAAATTTTTCTCTTTCACCAGTTTAGCTACTTCTGGCCCTGTAATTTCATATGCCCTCATAGCAGGTAATTACAGCTATCAGTCAAGAGCACTTTGGCTTACTATTTTGGTGGCAAGAAAAGAAAAGAGTAATAATTTTACATGTTTCCTGTAAACTGATCTGGCTGTAGGTCCCCATATTTCATTTTCCAGTCTTCCAAATAAATAATAATTTAAAAATAAGACCAATTTTATTTACTTTTCAGACCACGTCGATGAGCGAACAATATGCAATGGAATTACCCCAGAAAAAGATGTAGACGGATTTCATATTTTCAATATTGGAAGGCTATGCCTTGATCAGCATTCTCTTATACCTGCCACTGCCAGTGCTGTTTGGGAAATAATAAAAAGAACAGGTTTGTAAATTGTGGCGTGCAGAACGTGGGTGCTAGATGCTGAACTGAGCATTTGTGCATTGCCTTGATGGAACCACCTCAAATCCTATAGAGTGACAGAAAAAGATAAGCCATAAAACTTCAGTCTGTAAAAATATATAATGTTAGAGAAGTCAAAGAATAATCCAAAATAAAATAAATTGAGACACATGTGCCAGGTTGTAAATAACTGTGGTTGCAATTTGTAGAGAGTGAATTTCCCAAATAGTAGTTGTGTCTTCCTACTTTTAAACTATAAACTTAATGCATTTTGATGTGGACCTTTTCAAAATATATTTTTCTTTACCTTTAAAAATTTGCTGATCATATATGAACCATCTCTACTAACTTAGATTTTTATATCAACATTTACCCTTTAACTGTGCTAAGTACAGTAATGTTCTCTCAAGATGTGTAGAGATATTTAGGGGTCTACATTAGTTGATCCCAAATTGCCTTGTATATTGATGATTTCCCTGCTTCCACTGCTGTCACTTCTATTTCTGGCAGCATCTTCTCCTTTTTATCTACTATTTTCTAATTGACAGAGAAAATTTCCAAGGGAAAGCAGATCCTAGAATAACACTTGTAGAATGTTAGTACTTGGAAAATCCTTAGTTATAATTTCATCATTTTACTTGTGAAAAACTGAGCCTAAAAGAGAGAGTGTGTTAGATCTTCAGGCTTTATCTTTCACACCTTTCTAAGTCTAAAAGTTTAGTGCTTCTTTCCTGTGGAATAAAGCGCAAGAGATTTGTGAAAGATGCATTTTTTTCCCACTTCATTTTGTCCCAGCTTTGCTCAAAGTTCGGCCATCAAGCTTGACATTGTTGTACTTGGCTTACTTTATAATTAGTAGTTAATAAAGTTTAAGCCTCTGCACTTCTAACTCTTCATGTAAATCTCAGTGTTTAAGAGTAATTTATTGCAACTTTAGAATGTTTGTGGTTTTTTAATGAGGATATAACCATAAAGGAAGTGACAAATCTAAGAAGCATAACAGGAAATATTTATAACTAATGAATGTGAGCACTTTATAGACAAACCACATAGTAATCCAGATTTAATTAGGACTTTTTGAGGAATGTTTCAGTTGCCTGTTCAAATGTTTAATTTGCTTCTTGTTGTTGATTCTGCACTGAAATCAACCTCTGTATTTTAAGGAATTGAAACATTTGGGAAAAACGTCGTTGTGGCTGGAAGATCCAAGAATGTAGGGATGCCCATTGCCATGCTTTTACACACTGATGGAGAGCATGAACGGCCGGGAGGTAGGTAGGACCTTGCAGACTGTACATACTCTTACAATTTTCTTACTTCTTACATAATCATGTAAAGACTTTTGATTGTAAGATTTAGCATATTTGTGGGTTTATGCAATTAAAGGTTTCCTTTATTCCTCACTTAATAAAATGAGCACCTTGAAAGTGAAAATAGGAATTACTGAAAATAAGTGGCACCTTCGTTTCTATTTTTATTTTGGCTACACTGTATGTACTTTGTTTAAATCATTAGTAATATAGACATAAAGAAAGGTAAAAAGCCACTAGAAACATAAAAAGCACGTGCCTGAGAAAGTAGAAGACAAGGCACAAAACCTTGGGATGTTGAGCGTAGACTTCCTGAAATGGCAAGGTCCTAGTACTTTAGAAGTCAGCTAGTTAGTTCACTTTACAGACAAGGAAGCTGAGGCTTAGAGTTGTTTGCTGACTATATAGGTTAGACAAATAGTCATGGCGCTGTGAGGAGTAATGACACCCCAAGTCACTAAGAAAGCCCAGCAAAATGTTGTAGTATTTGAGAACACATGGCTGTATTCTCCAGGAGCCTATTGTCTCATCGTCATCCCAGAACCTTGGTTTCTTCAGGAGCCTGATAGGTGGATACTGAGCAGCTCCCCAGAGATGAGAATGGAGTTGGGATGAGGAGGAAATCCATTGTTCATGGTTGCCTGGGCCAGTGGTGTGGACAGAGGGTTCAAGGGCTACTCCGCTCCTCACTGTGCTAAATTCTGCATCTTGTTGTAAAATGGGTAAAAGACCAAGTTTATGTTCTTAACAGAAGCAGTTATTGGTTTATGTATGTGTTAGAGATTTTTACTACTTCCTTTACCATTTACTATTCCTAATCTTTTTTCCTAATTTTTGATACAGTAAGAACTTAATTGGTTTCTTTAACTCCAAAGAAGGGTGGAGACACTTTTTTGTTTTCTAATATTTAATCAGAGTGATAGACCACCTACATGCTCATGAACAACACACATACACACACACACAGCATTATGTATAGGTGTACACTATAGATTTCTTATCATTATTAACCTTTGTGAATTACAGTTTTCTGATCTCAAATTTTCGATGATACTTGTTTTAGGATCTTGGTTGACATAATGCATATAATTTTTTAAAACACAGAGCCTTATGGAAAAATAGGCCCAATGATTTTTCTTTCTGTGCCTAAAGATATAAATATTGCCAGAAATCAATATGTATATATGGATCATAGTAAATTAGGGCTTGATAGTGATTCCCAGTAACTTTAAAAAGCCTTAGTTTTGAAGAGCTCTTTGAAAGGTCAAATCTGGTGGTGTAACAGTTTTCATGTAACCATCTTCAAAGTTTCATTCCTAGTTTCACTATTTGCTCCTGGTTTGCTCTATTATGGCTTATCTATCTATCTTTTAAGGTATAGTAAAGATATTGATTCATATTTGCCATTATGTAACAGTTTCCATGTTAAGCAAGGTAAAACAACCAGGAATGTTTGCCTAGGTGTGCTGTTTTTCTTGGAAAATTTTGACCAAGAACCAATAAGCATTTTTTTGTTCATTTTCAACATTTTTTCTTATCTCATCAATAACATAAGCAGCAGCATTATGTAGCTCCATGTTTTTCTTAGTACTTTCTCATAAACTTTCTTATTTCATTCTCAATAGTTCTGGCATATATTAAATTTCTTCTCATTTTGCAGCTAGAGGAAATGAGCTTTAGAGACTTTAGAGGGCTTGCCCAAGGCCACAAAAGGCAGTGGATTTCCAGAGCTGGGAGACAGGTGCTGACTGTGTGGTTAGGAGGATAGACAGGAGTCAGACCCCCTTATTGCCAAGCTCTGTGACCTTCGGCAAGTCCTTTCATCTGTGTAGGCCTCCTCTTTCCCCATTTGTAAAATGCAGATAATGTTAATGTCTCCTTCACCTGGTCATTGTGAAAATTAAATGAGATATGAATGTAAAGCACTAATTATAGTGCCTGACACACAGTAAGTTAAGTAAGCTGTTGGTCATATAGCTGTGGCTATTACTATTATTTCCATTATTATGCTTAACTTAATAATCTGTAGCCATGCATAAAGTATAGAGTAACATGATCTGAGGCTAATGATGTATTCTGGTGGTTTTGTATTTGCTTTTTTTTGATAGTATCTGGTCTAATTTGTAATAATTTGAATAAACTCAGAATTTATAAAAGCTTATAAAGTACTTGCTTAGAAATGTTACATCATAATACTCCAAATAGTACTACACAATGCACTTTTTCTTGTAGGCTTCAGTATATTATATGCTAATTTCTTAATAAATTTCCACTTTAAATGATTAATTTGTCTATTTCTTAATAAATTTCCATTTTAAATGATTAATTTGTCTATAAGATATCTGTCTAAAAATTAACTTATCCCTTCTTTATTCAATTTTAAATTAGATAATCCTATGTCGTAAAACACATTAGTCTATTTTTTCAATATATGGGTTTTTTATGGATTCATACATATGAAGTAATAAAAGTGGAATTAGTTTAATACTGGTTACTTACAAGTCATATAGTTAAACTTACCTTTATTCTAGTGGTACCTAGGTGCCGTTATAATTATATTATCTAAAAGGTAACAAATTGTATTAAAAATGATATTGGAAGGTTTGCAACATGGGTGGTGTTTATGCATATTTGATAGTGTGGTGACATATGTTATTAATATAATGAATCGTTGAGAGCTGCTTACTGAAGATTTGGAGTCTGTGGGAAAGTTAATATTTTAAATGTCCATGTCTGTTAGAAAGGTAATTATGTACAGTGACTCCATGTGCATTGTTAACTAATGGAGATAATGAAGGAGGATTAACTTAGCAAATTCGTATTTATAGAACTGGTTCTAATGACACTCACAATGTTGAGCATTCAGCTCACACTGTGTATTTCTTTGCCAGAGAGATTCAGAACCCTAGTGATTCATTTTTGTCTTAAAGCCAAAGATAATTGCACTAGAAGAAAAATAGCCGTACTGTAATTTAGCTTGATTAATATGTGTCTACCCATGGGTATTTTTTAGTTTGGGTATTAAGAACATGATCCCAGCTGTTTTGTGAGAAAGAACTTTTTTTTTTTTTTTAATTCTTCAAGGGCGGTGAAATAATTAGAAGAGTAAGAATATGCTAAAATCTTCAAGTAAAGGGGTAGTGCTGATACTCAACACAGCAAGGAAGCAAGGAAGGATGTTACCTCCTGCTGAGGACAGGCCATCACAGAAGGCTCTGTAGAGGGCTTGATATTTGAGCCACTATGTAGTTTATAGAAAGCAGATGAAAGATGGTTCCTGTCCTCCCAGAGCTATAGTCTTGTTGGTGGTGATGGGTTTCTAGGGGACATGATATACAAGTATGGGTACTTTAAATTATAAATATTCAGTGGCACAAGGTAAAATTTGGCACCTCTAAGCAAACATTATATTTTCTCAGGGAAGCCCGTGGTTAATTGAAGTGACATAAAGAGATTGACATGGAAGTCTCTTCTTATGAGCCCCACTAATTATGAGGATGTTTGAGTACCACAGTGACCACTTATAGGTTACTGTGTATTCTTTTGACTTCTTTGTATGTAGTAACCTACCCAGTTTCACCTTCTTTCAAAATGAAAACTGAATACCAGTGGCTTTAGCATAATGTCTTTATTTTTAGCTTTACTGTGAGGAAGTAAGGGGAACTCTCCAATTTCTCTAAAATATATTTTTTTCTCAAGATAACAAAGTGCCCTAATGACCAAGACATTGTAGTTGTCATCACTAGAGAAATACAAAATTTGATTTTATTTCAAATTCTTTTAAAGTAAGTTCCTCTCTGCATATCTTTATTCTTATGTAGGACATCTCATCTAAATAGGTCCCCCTAAGGACCACAACATGGGGTCACGTGCTCCTCCTTCAACTGAAAGGTTGTGGCATCACTGCAGTGGCATTGATGCTGGCATATTTTTAAAGAGTATTTTGAAAGGGCCAGCAACCAGCTGATTCTGCTTAGATTCCTATGGGCCTGGCTATGTGTTCGAGTTCATTCAGCCAATATTCAGTCATACTTTCTGTAAAACACTGTGGGATAGAGCAGTAAAAAGACTTAGTCCTTTCTTTCCAGAAGTTGACAGTCTTGTGTCTTCAGGATTCATCTTTGCAAGGTGTGCTTTCTCAAGGCACTGCCCTTGCATTGGCTTTCAGTGTTCACGCTCAAGCCGTCCTTCTGCTGCAACTTTCTGTGTCTCAGCTATTTTTCTTCAAGAGGCAGTCTATCTAAATGGAAAATCTCAAGAGTTTTTGCCAGTTGAATGCTTTTCCTTTGTGAGAATTGACTCCAGTTGTGAAAACGAACATTTTGCCAGCTTGGGAGCATCATCTCTCACCACCAGGAGGCTGTAACACAGTAGTGGATGTTTGAGGTAGGGCAACATGACCTGAGTGGTATGTGTGATTAAGCTTAGCCCACTGGCAGGTTGGGCCAAGCTCTCTTAGGTTTCAAAGAGAGAAGCCAAATAGGAATGCCTAGGAATGCAGGAGTCATGCAAAACAATTACACCACTGGGACTGAGACTCTTAGTCTTATTGGCAGTGGAATGGGATGTTTGTTGCCTCTGTGATAGGACCTATTGTCTAACTGGGACAGGGGGGATGTCAGGCATTTAGTCTCTGCTACTTACATCCCCCCATCTCCAGCTTAAAAGTACTCATGACAAGATATTGGAGGTACTATGTTTTCTGATTCCTCTGTGTTGGTTAAACTTTACTGAAGTACACTTTGAGTTTGGGTAGTGCAAGGCAGTAGAAAAGAACAAACACTTGTTCTAGTCTCATTTTCTAAATTGAATAATAGGAGCACTGTTTCATTTTTAATGACTCCTAAATTCAACCAGCTAGTATCTGGAAAAAATGAATATGCATTCTCATTAGACAACTGGAACTATTACAGTGTTGAAAATAACATTAAACCTTATTTAAAATGTAAAGTGAAGTCCAA